TTCTCAGTGTATGCCCAATCCATCTCCACTTCCTTTTAATGCATATTTGTTGGGTGATAGGTTCTTGGTTGCTTCGTTGCCAGCCAGCCACCCGGAGTCGCTTGTCGCTTATTATTTCTGGCCATCTGAGCTCTAGTAACGAGTGTAGACAGTTGTTGATGAATGTCTGCAGTTTGTTGGAAATCCCTTTCGTGACGCGCCAAGTCTCTGAATCATACAGGAGCACTGACTTGACTTTGGTGTTGAAAATCCGTATCTTGTTCCACATGCTGAGTGTAGAATATTTCCGCACTGGTTTCAGGCTAATGAACACCTGTCTTGCTTTTCCGATCCTGACTTTGACGTTTCTTCCGTGCCGCCTGTAGTCGAAACGATGCTGCCTAGAGAGGTGGAGGAGGCTACTTCCTTTAAGTTTCCCCCATTGATGCTTGTTGTTGTTGGTTGCGTATCTTTATCACCTCTGTCTTCTCTATATTCACTTGAAGTCCCGTCTTCCTTCGCTATCCTGCCTCTTCTGCCAACTTGTTAGTTTTTGCCTGCAAATCTTCCAGTTTGTGCGACATCAGACACAAGTCATCGGCGAAATCCAAGTCTTCTGGGTTCTTTTCCGCGGTCCAGAGTATCTCCCTCTTCTCGCTCCTTACAGTTAGTCGCATGATCCAGTCTGCCACAATCAGGAAGATCATTGGTGATAGGATGCAGCCTTGTTTTACTTCTGTCTTCACTTCAAAGGCATCATCACTGAGCTTCCCACTGTGAATTATTTGGCATGTGGCGTCTTCATATAGTTGTTGAATGAGATTGATAAAGGTTTGTGGTATTCCGTAGTGTTGAAGCAATCGACTCTGTCGAAGGCCTTTTGAAAGTGGATGAAGTTGAGGTAGAGAGTTGACTGCCATTCTATGCTCTGTTCTATGATGATGCGAAGCGTAGCAATTTGATCTGCACATGATTTGTACTTCCTGAATCCAGTCAGCCTATTCCGGTCGTAGTTTTGAAATGTGAACATGCTTTAGTCTCTCCAGGGTGATGTGGCTTAATATTTTGCTTGCCTTGGTTGGACATGAGTGGAGTATGATTCCGCGCCAGTTCTTGCAAACACTGAGGTCTCCTTTCTCTGGAAGTTTGATAAGGTATCCCTTCTTCCAATCAATGGGCAGGTACCTTCCCTTCCTTCCACATCTTCTGCAACAGTGGTAAAAGTGAGCATATCCGCTATTGTCTCTGCGTCTGTTCTCAGTGCTTCTGGCGAGATTCCATCTGGTCCTGCTGCTTTCTCACATTTCAATAGCTTTATGGCACTCAGGACTTCCACTTTTGTTGGGTGTTTTAGTCCACTTGTAGTTCTGTGGCTGCAGGTGGTATTTCTGGACAAAGTGCAGGTGGTGGTGGTCGATTCCAGAGCTTCTTGAAATGGTCGGCCCATCGTTTCCCATCTTTAGTAATTATATTTTCTTCATCATATTTTATTGGTTTCATCTGCGTTGATCTCTTCCCAGATAACAACCTGGTTATTTGATACAATGTTGTCAGGTCTGTGTGTCTCCTACCGGCCTGCAACCTGTTCTGCTTCACTTGCCAGTGTTTCGTAGAAGTGTCTTTTGTCTTTCCGTGCACTCTTCTTCACTTCTCTGTCCAGTATTTTATACATTGCACTCAGATCCTCTTCTCATTGTGCATCCTTGCACTGGTTTATCTTCTGTTTCACCATCTTCCTCTCCTCTGCCAGATCTGCATGTCCGTGGAGATCCATTCCTTTTCTTCTTTTGTCTTCCTTCCCAATACGGTTATGCAGGTTTCTTTCTGCACAGCTTCCAGAGACTTCCAGTGCCCATCTACACAGGTTTCTTCACGGATGTTCCTCCATATCTCCCACTTTGTCTTGATGGCTGCCGTGAAGATTTTCTTTGTAGTTTCGTCCTTCAGTTTCCAAGTGTTGTACTTGAACTGCGGGTCTATCACCAGCTTTCTTGAAAGCTTTCAACTTGATTTGGAAGGCAGGTTCCTTGCACTAGATGGTGAGTGGTGTGAACCTACATCTGCTCCTCTTCTTGACCTTGTGTCAAGTAGGCTGCTTCCCCACTTTCTTGAGATTGAGATGAAGTCGATCTGATTTTTAGTGTGTCCTGGTGTCTGGTGAAATCCATATCGCTTTTTGGACATCCTTGTGCTTGAACACACTGCTTAGCCTCCAATCACCAAATCGTTGAATGCACAGAATTCTGCAAACAATTCTCCATTCTCGTTCATCACCCCACCGAGCGCTGCTCGACCCATGGTTAGTTCTCTTCCTGTGTTGTCCCCTCACAGTTTGGCATTCATGTCGCCCATTAGAGTTTTGATATCGCCAACTGAGGTCTTGTCCAGTGTTGATTGCAGTTGTCTGTAGAACTCCTCCTTTTTCTCTTGCTCTGCATTATTTGTAGATGCATATCGTAGCATTGTATGATTGTGACCTTCCTTCCTTTTGAGTTGAACCTTGCTGTCATGATCCTGGAGGAGATTGGTCCCCACTGCATGAGGGCCTTCGATGCTCTTGGGGACATCATGATAGCCACCCCCTCAGTGTGCTTGTGGTTGTCGTCTGGGTGACAATATCGGAGTAGATTATTGATTCTCCAGTTGACAGTTTGGAGAATCTACTCTCATTCCATCTGCTTTCGCAAATTCCAAGTACTTCAATGTGATACCTTCTCATTTCTTTTGCAATCTGGGCTGCCTTGCTGAGTTCAAACATCGTGCGGACATTCCATGTCCCCACGTTTACTTTCGCTTTCATCGAGAGAAGTCACATTGGCCCGGCTAATTGGCTTCCCGAAGGCTTTCACCAACTGGTGTCATTTCGCCTCTCCGATTCCAGCGAGGAATACTTTCGTTTATGTTTTTTTATATTTTGTTTGTGCTTTGAAGTTTCTTTAGCGGTTAGATTTGTTTTACGGGGTAGGGTTGCTAGCCATATGCCCAACCCTCCCTCTTTACTCGGGTTTGGGACCGGCTAGTAACTAGTGAACTAGTAAACCAGGTGATCGTTATTTTATTTTTATAAGATCTCTCATATCCAGTAACCTTCACCACTATAAATATATCTAGTATTCACGATCATAGCTTTATTTATTTTTTCACTCATTGCTGCCAAGAATATTACGAAAAGTATCACACCTAAATTTAACAGTGCGAAGACTTGTATTATTCAACGCATAGTGTTCATCAAATGCTACTTTGTATGGCACCTAGTAGTGGAGAAACCCTAAAAGAGGATTTCCGTCGAGGTTTTCCGCTTGATAACACCAACCAAGTGGCAAAGTACATTTGAAACCTTGAGAGAACTCATACTCCGTACTTTACAACTATATTGCAATTAATAATGAATTCTAATAACGCTTCATCCCCTGAATGGAAGACCAGACGAGTGATCAAAATGCTCAGTATGGTTGCTGTCATTACCCTAACAACTTATAGTTTACGCATTTAGATACGTGACTAATATAGTTACAAAAAACTACAAAACACCAACTTAGAAAATGAGATTAATAGAGCAACTAACATATTTACAAATGGTTGCACAATTCTTCTGCATTTCATTCTATAAACTTTAAAAAGTCGATAAAAGGAATCAACGTTTATCGTTTACAAAATAGTGTGATCATAAAAAGACGGGTTTTATGCATAGGACTTGGTATATAGTTGTCTGAGGGACTACACAAATTTTATTAAATAGTCATGAAGAATCATTATTTAGTCAACTAAGAAATTTCCTGTTGCACCACAATGATCTTATCTTTGACCAGAAAATATAATACTAAGGCAAGAAGAGTTAAGTGTGCTCATATTATAGAAGCATAGAATGTTTGGTTGACAGGATGAAGAATTGAGATATGCTTTACTTCGACAAAATAGGATTTTAAGTAAAATGAGAAACGGCAACTAGGGATTCTGAGCGGAAATTCAGTTATTATTTCCTTCTATGAATTCTCCTTTCCCTTATCGTTCTTTTTTACACTTAAGGTTTTATTCGCTAGACTTTATTTATCTGGGCTATCAGATGGTAGAGGAACTTTCACTATGAAATCTAAGAGGTACTCTGCCGATCACGGTGATTCAATATTTCCAAGAATATATATTTCGCTTACGTACTAGATAGAAATGATTACTTCCTGAAAATAAATCGTACAAATTTGACTAACTTCGTTTAAAGCATCATCTCAAATTCAGTATTGAATTCGTCGTTTGTTAAACAAAATCCTAGGATTTGTTTTCCTACTCATCTGCTAACCGTTAACTATTTGGGAAGGAATAATTTGTCCGTATATAATATAATTTACAATAACAGGATATTCATAACAAAAACCTAATAACAGCTAATTTATTTATTATTTTAATCATTTGTCGACGTCTTGTTTTATACGTTGAAATATGCAAGTAACACAATTATCGGTACTAAAAAAGAAGTCTCACATATGTTAACAGTTGAAAAGTGTATTCAGTTTCATAATTTAACAGATAACAGGTGCCTTCGAAGCCACGGTCAGTCAGTTAACATCAAACTGAGAATAGGAAGTACCGTTATACCGTCAGGATATCAAGATACAAGTTATCAGGATGGAAAACACATCAAGTTCCACGACCACAGAGCAGACCACTGCGCATTATCTTCAGTTTTCAATAAGTATTTAGGAGTAACACTGATGGAGTAAATTTGAAAAAAGGTATGGAGTACTTCGTACCCGTGATGAGATCTCGACAGCCACTAATCATTAGGTATTATGCGACTTCTCAAGTTGTTCCACCGCTGGACAGAGAAAACTTATACTTCTCAGGTAAGGAAAGCGATGAAAGTGCAAACATTTCACCACCTATTGTTAGACAAGATATCAAACCACACCAATCTTGAGGTAGCTAGCTATTTGCAGTTGGGAGCTAAAAAATGCATGCAAAACATTCTAAAATTTCCACTTGCTGTCAAATATGTCCCTGCATCGTATCAGCGTTTCCACTCTAGGTCAACAAAAAGTTTCTAAAGACAAAGTTAATCCCCGTTTGGTCAGATGAGACTTCCGTAAGCAAATCTACGAGAAAATAAAATAGAAATGAAGAAATTGGAGAAAGATACCGCTCAATGCCTACAACTCATCTGCTAAATCGCAATAACCGAATACAGAACCTCTAGTCAACTGATGTAAGTACCCCACTTCCTTTCAACAGGAAACACTGCAGTCAGATAGAAAAGCCCCTGTTGCACATTAGGGTTCAAAAGTACAGCGAGGATCAAAGTGTATTTACAGACCAGAAGGTCGTGTGGTAATGTTTTTAGCTGCAAAATAGAAGCAAGGCGTTCACAATGTTCTCAACCCAAATATACCTTCACCTGACCCAGTTTATCAGCTCAAAATATAGTGAGAACACCGTTGGTCAAATAAATGAGTATGATGGATATTCATTATTCTCCTGTCCAAAAAACTAACACAATCAATCCAACGAAATGCACTATGAACGAAGATCGAAATTATAATATTTCGATTGATACATTTGTCGAAAGATGAATATTCACTCACTTATAAATTTATGCAGCCAATCAATGTGGTATTTAAAAAAGAGACAATTAGGAAACTAATACTGAGTAGTATTTTCTTAACCGACATAAAACATTGTCTGACTAATGGTTTCATACACAAAAAATATGGTTGCAGATTTCTTTATTTTTTTAAGGGTACTTGATTACTAAACAGCTGACTCAAAGAATTTGGATCCTGAAGTAGTATTTTTGTCGTTGCAAGATGTCAGTCAGTATTCAACTAACAAAAAAGACGATAGAAGGAAGAGAGGTAAACAAGGTAAACCAAATCTCTATGACCAAAAGAAATTTATGCAGCTTTCTTTTTCATGATCATCCTGTGAACTTATATCGACACATACAAACTGTCTAGACAGGAGTACTTAATTCCCTCCTCGTTACAAGCCGTTACTATCACTACAATTATTTGGATTTCTTCTTCGTTTCGAGTTATTCTTACACAATCAGTGTTAACAGGAGACCAATTGACAGAACCTGTCGTTCTTCATATTTATACTGGATGATGATTCAAGGTGAAGTGAACATTTGGACCGCGGCCAGATTCGAACCAACGACTAACGGGTTTCCTGCTCCATGCTCTACCAACTAAGCTAGGAGGTCATCACCATTACTATACAAACTATCAGGTATACAATTATCTGTTTTGAATCCCAAAGTTCTCCTGTGTAATTGAAGTGACCAAGTGGATTAGGCTGTGACTAAAGATAGCGGATGCTCTTGAAAAGGATCTTTCTGGCATGATTGAAACGTTGAGGAATAATACAATACAATACAATAACACAGCATAATAATAATAGTGATAACACAATAGTACAAACCTGGTGACCATGAGGTCAAGTACTTAACGATGACATTGGGTGACGGTCGCGCTATGTCGTGAACTGACAGAATTTGGAAATATGGACACACTCCACCATGCCCCACGTTCTGTCGGTCCAGCGGTGTTGGTTTATTTGTCGTTTCTTTTCTACCGTCCGGCCCCAAAAATACAAAAGTTCGAAATAAACATACTCAAAAGGCTGGGTGTGACAGGCCTCAAGCAGATGTCTGATGGACTCTGCGGTCACACAAATCTCTTTCATGTACCTTAAGTAGAAATAGCCTTCCATGGTGTGGGCAACCGGGAAGTGTCAACCGCCCTCACAACTCTGTCAGCACTCAAGTTCCTTCTGACTGCTACCCACTTCCCCCATCATTACCTCCTAATTTTCCCTCACGTCTCCTAATTAACAATACTACATCATCTTCAATTTCTCCTAGCTTTGCAGCCTTTGACAACGATTTGAGTTCACAGAACAGCATACTTGGTCTCCTTAAACCACGCTCCAAATTACATACTGGAGCCTTGAATGTCCACACCCTCCGTCAAATTGGTCACAGGCTTCGCTAGCAAAGACTCCAGCAACTCGGGACATGGATGTGTGCTGATTCTGAGATACGCATACAGGACTCAAGCGCGGTTATTGACCTAACCTCTTCCGGTCAATCTGATGAATCCGCAAAATTCACCCTTCAAGTTTCTGGAGATTCGATAGCTAGCTTTCGGGGTCTTGCAGGTGTAGACATAGCATTAAGCACTAGGGCAGAAAACTCACTGTTAGACTGGATTCCACTTGATAGTTGCCTCTGAGCTATGCGAAGAAATGGCACAGTGAGAACTAAAAGGAATAGTGAGACTCGCCGTTGTCTCTTTGTAATCTCTGCTTACGCACCCACTGACTGCAGCTCGGATGAAGTGAAGGACGAGTTCTACTGTAAACTGTCTAACCTCCTCTCGAAAGCCAAACGTTCGGACGTGGTGGTTGTTACAGGTGACTTCAATACACAGGTGGGTAGACTGAGTGAGGCAGAAAGGCACTTAGGTAGCACTTTCGGAATCCCAGCTGAACGTACAGGTAATGGTGATCGCCTACTACAACTTTACTCAGATAATCGCCCATTTTAGCTAGCACAAATTTCAGACATAAGAAAGGCACTGTCTGACGTGGCGTCCACCGAGCTCAACTCAGCGATTGACACAGACCACATTACTATTAGTCATCACTGAAGAGGATCGGTGGGAGACTGCCACTCCTTCTGGAGTACGTATTTGGACAGCTATCGTGCGTTGGTCCGAGCGCTTATATGCCTGCGTCTCAATGGACGTAGAAAAAATTTGACAACAAAACCAACACGAGTACTGCTGGACAACGAAAACACCAAAGCCGTGTTCAGTGAGAAGTTGGCTAGGCAGTTATCCGGACAGAAGACTACCACTCATCCAGAAGAAGCTTGATGCAATCTCCAGTCTGTCGTCTAAGCAGCGCTGAACACTAAGGGCGACTCCGAAAGAATGGCTAAAAAGAGCCAGTGGATATCAGCAGCTTCTTCCAAACTAATGGATGCAAGTGAACGCATCCCTGCAGGCTCTGAGTACAATGAAGAGCGGGCACAGCCTAAAAGTAGACTGAGAAAAAGTCTACGCAACGACCGCGAACAGTGGTGGGCAGCAAAGGCTAAAGAGATGGAAAAGGCTGAGGCGATTGGTAACACTAGACAATTATTTAGACTTATTAAGGAAACTGGGGGAAAAAGATTGACTGCGGTTAGTGAGACCGTAGGGGAGAAGGACGTATCTGCGGTCCTTTCGCAGGGGAGACGACTGGAACGATGGGAAGAACACTTCGATTAACAATTTAACTGGCCTCCGGCTACCACAGTAGGATCCTGAATGTAGCGTTGAGATAGGCCTCCCAACACTAGCAGAAGTCGTAAAAGCGGTAGGTAACCTGAAACGAGGAAGGATAGCAGGACCAGACGGACTACCCGCTGAGGTATAGAAGGATGGTGGTGCTGTGCTCTTAGTCAGGTTAACGGAAGTGTTAACCAGTATATGGGAATCAAATACGATCCCCTCTGACTGGTCTAAGTCACCGATTATTCCAGTCTTCGAGAAAGGCTAGAACTCCTCTTGTGATAACCACAGAAGAGTCAGCCTGACGAACTTAGTGTCTAAGATTCTAGGTTCTATAATTCTTCGACGCCTGAGTGGAGCTGGTGAACAGCAAGTTTGAGGTAACCAAGCAGGATTTAGACCTGGCTGTGGATGTATCGACCAAGTATTCACACAGCACTAGGTTTTGGAACACAGATACGCTTACCGACGACCAACAATAGTTGTATTTCTTGACCTGAAGGCGGCGGCATTCGACTCCGTTGATCGAGAAGTCTTATGGCAATGTCTCTCACTGAAAAGCGTGTCGAGTAAGTGCATCACTTTGTTGAAGGCTCTCTACTCGAACACTTGTGGGCGTGTTAGAGCCTATGGTGAGATATCCGGGGAGCTGTACTCATCGAGTGGTGTCCGTCAATGGTGCCTACTCTCTCCATCCTTATTCAATTTTATCACAGATATTCTTATGGAGGTTTCCCTCTCATCGCCTGATTACACAGACGCTGACCTAATCGATGGAGAATTTCCGTTAGACCTAGAATATGCAGATGACATAGTTCTGTTAGGTAAAGACACTGACAAGATGCAAAGTCTTCTTTGAGTGGTAATTTGAGAATACTTGGGATGCGGTCATCACCACCCAAATGCAAATTGCTGCTCCAGCATTGGTCTTCAACGGTGCTACAGCTAATCAACAGAGAGTGTAGTGATTGAGTGTGTCGACCACTTCACTTACCTGAGAGTAGGATCAGTCCTCCTTCGGTGGCTCAGAGGCCGATGAAATCTCTGCACAAATAGAAAAGGCTCATCTGGCTTTCGCCAACTTACACCACCTATGGCGCCACCATGATATCTGACTGTCTACTAAGGTCACATATACTGCACATCAGTCCGCTCTGTTCTACTGTATGGCTGTGAAACATGGCCATTGAAGGTGGAAGACATGAAAAGACTTCAGGTGTTTGACCACCGTCTCCTTCGTAGTATAGGCAGCCGTATTTCATGGTGTCACCACGTGAGTAACGCAAAAGTCAGGAGTAGAGTTTTAGGGAGAAGTGGTAAGTTGGTTGACGAGGTTGTGAACCTTCATCGACTGAGATAGTTGGGACACGTGTTGCGTATGCCTGGTCACCGATTGCCTCGTCACACAATGTTGGCTGAAGTAGGTTCAGGCTGAAAAAAGGCCCGAGGTGGCCAGACTTAAACATGACAGGAATGTATGAAGTCTTTGACTGTTGGTTTGATGCATGTGGGGCGATGCAGACTAGGTGGTGGGGTCCGCGGGACAAGAGGAACCAATGGTTGGAGACTCTACATGATATGGTTGAGAACCGATGTCAGTGGCTCAGATGTATACATACATTATCCTCATCTTACGCACTACTGAATCTCACCATTTGTCATTCTTCTTTTCTCTCTTTTCGTACTTGATATTTCTTCTGACTGGATTTTCTTGCCTTCACCTTACACTTCACTGCCTTTTTATTTAATATACCGATATGAGCTGTGGCAGCTCGGACCGTTATGCGGTAATGTCCGGTCCTATGTTGATATTGACGATGATTCAACATCCGACTGGATATCAGTGGGTGATAGAACAGTAACTGAGAGCCAGTTAAACTGTTCCTCGAAGTATTCCGTGCATCACTGAAGTCATCTCCCCTGCGAGCGAATTGCAGACCTATTTTTCGCCTCCATGGTCTCGCTAACCATTGACCTTTTCATACTAGTTTCCCTGATCAGTCTAAATAACTGTCTACTGTTGCCTGTCACCGCTACCTTATTATCATTTTTAGCCTTCGTTGCCTAACACTGCTCAGACGTTTTCAGTCTACGTTTGAACTTGACCACTTAAGGTCTTTGATTCAGTTGGATAAGAGGTTTTGGGGGTAAATTAATAAGCTCAGAATAGGGTTGAAGCGATTGTGCACTGCTACACTTTTACAACTGACTTAATTTCCGAATGAAACATATCATCAACACCAAATCTTTTTCACTGTATGAAAAAAGAAATATCATTTAAAAAGCCGACATTTGTATTGGTAGAAATAGCGTGAAAGTAAAATTTTATAAATATATTGAGAACAAGCAAACACGTGTATATATGGATAGCCGATAGAGGAAAACTAAAGCGTCCTTAAGAAATATACAACCACTTTGGCAAGTCATGTTAAATACTAAGTTGGCGAAAAAACAAAAGTAAAAGAACAACTCAAAGAAAATAAACGAATGCGCATTAAAACAATAATAATAATAATCATAATAGTAATACAAAGCTGTATTAATAGAGGCCTAGAGATTATAATTCCTGATAATAATTTTTTGATTATAAAGCGAAGTATTTTGACTAGTTAGCCTTTCGAACGGTCAGTGGAGTGGTTACTCACTTGAGAAATTTTAGTTCGACCAAATGGTCCTGGCTCATCGTGGTACAAATACACTTGTCGATTTAGGCAGTCAGTTATTGCTTGTCTACAATAAAGGTTAAACGATATAACTAGGTATAGGACAATGAGTAGCAACTACAAATTCAAACAACGAGATATCTACTGAAAAGTGAGGATACACAGATGACCTAGGCTCAAGAAGTCAAAACACTAGGAGGGAAAAGAAAGCCAACAGGACTTCTTACTGATGATAGCCGAATCACAGGACAATTAAATCTTCAAGTCACGCAATACGCAGAGCAATACATAATCAAAATATCTAACATTAATATATAATATATGTGTAAATTGCCTAAAGCTCACTGAAAAATTACTAATGGTTGCACAAGGTTATTCGCTTAATTGGTTCATGTAACTACAACCGTAAGCGTAGTTTAAAAAACGCAGTCTTTAAGAAAAATGTAAATACTATAATAATAATAATAATAATAATAATAATAATAATAATAATAATAATAATAATAATCGGTTAACGACTGCCATATCAGTTATTTATGTGATTTTATTATTTTATTTGGCAATGATCACTAGATGAAACCCGACAAACTACAATATTGCCTGAATTGGTTTAAATATTTAGTGAACAATCAAGTTGGTGTTACTTATGATGATTTATGAAAACAAATTGAAAAGATGATATCCATTCTGGAAAATATCTTCGAAATTCTGAGACATCATAGTTACTTTGATGGTCATCTTAGTAAATACTGAAACACTAATAAAAGCTTATTTTAACGTAGAATAGAAAAACATGACCGTTTTCTTAATAGTTGCTAAGGTGACCTATAAAGTCACTCAATATGTAAATATTTTCTTGAAATCGAATCGAAACCCACTTAGCAACCTTGTGCACATTCGTGCAGTAGACAATGAGGCACATCCATTGTCTGAAGGTCAGTGATACTACCTGGCTGCCCAAACCTCATAAGGTGAAGCGGAGTTCGACACTGATTGAAAATCAGCCCCCCTAAACCAATGTGCCACAGCGCTTGACCACATAACTGAAGTCAACTGACAGAATGGAATACCAGAAGTTTCCCGATTTCAGTGGAGTTGGATATGGGGTAATTTTTGAATAGGTGAGCAGCATTATATGGTTAATCCTAGTTATCACGCTCTTATTGCACATACCATGATATCGATGTAGAATCTAAGATGCACAATTCTTAGTATTCACCAATGAACAACATCTGGCTATACTACTTAAGTCATTCAGTATGCAGCACTTTGTAGTTCAAAGCCCTGGCTACAAACAGCATGAATAAGAGCGCTAACAGACGAGATTTAGATTTGTCTGGTCAACAAGTAGCAAAGTAAGTAAAACTTGCATTGGACTAAACTAGTGTTCTTACCAACACTGATTGCTTACATGAAGTTTAGCAGAGTGAACTGAATAACCTTAAGCCATAGTCTTATTTCTAAAGAGAATTATCTCGCATAATAAGGCTAACCTATTAGGATTTTAACACAATGAAAGTAGATACTCGTTTTCCAGTTATTTCGATGAAACTAATATACGTTTAAAACTAAGTGTATCAATAATGCTGGTTATAACATTATCTTAGGAAGAATGAACAAAGTAGTTTAATTACTAACAGTAGGATCCAGAACGGACATTTCGTCCTATTTGGGACACGTCAGTTGGATGTACTTGTGTGCCCAATGAGTGATGGCGTTCCCACCGCTACTTGAACCCGTACCCATCGCTTCAAACGCCAAAGAGTAATCCACTAAGCCAATGAGTCCCGAATAGAACGAAATGCCCTTCCTCGACCCGACTGCTAGCCACAACCAAAAGAATCATAATGAATATTCAGGAAATATCGAGGTATCTTTATAGGAGCCCGTATGTCAACAGATGTCGATCAATGCGGTCCAGTATAACAGCAGGGATGTTGCAAATATAAAAAAAGAATGAACAATAGTTCAATGTTCCTTCAACTGATGTCAGTCCATGATGAATTCCACCCTAAAACTAATTCAGAAATTTCCACTAACCTCAAGATAAAACTAATCTAGCGCTCATTGGTGACTAGCTTCGAGAGGTGATTCCCAAAGTTCCAATGAGAAGCCGTGACCGGTGGAGTCAACCAAGTCGAACATGGGGACAGTTACTCAGCGACGATATTAAATGTAGGTCACGCTATATTGTGAACTGACAGAATTTGGAAATATGGACCATTGAATTCTGACCTAGTGATTCAATGGCAACATGCTGGCCACGGAACCTGAAGGTCCTGGGTCCGACCCCTGGAGGGGTCGTGGGTGCACACTGCAGAGAAGTCCCATACTAGGACGAAACAGCTGTCCAGTGTTACCAGGTTTCCAGTGTACCTCCAACTGATGTCAGTCCATGATGAATTCCAACCTAAAATCAATTAATAAATCTCTACAATGCCCTTAAAATATTTTGCTTGATGCAGCTGTAAAAGCTCCATATAATGGGTGACAATACACAGTAGAATAGACAGGGAGTATATATTCAGAAATCGCTTGTGAATCACAATTGATGCACATAAGCAAAAGTGAATGATACTGCAGTATGAAGACTGAGTTAATCATCAACCAATTATCAATTCTGACATCACTTTCTAGATAAGTGATGCGATCAATGCATTCAGCTGCTTCACTCTACACGTAGAAATTTGACTTTCAACCCTGACAACTAAACTGTAATCAGTGAGTACACACATAGAGACTATAAAATGATGTAAGCTATCTCAATTCTTGCAACAAAATCCAAGAAACAGCACATAACCTACCGTTAACTGGGTGAAGAATCGTGCTATTGCCTCAGAGCTTGATTATAAACCAACACTTACAAGGCTCAGAGGGTTGGATGGTATATATCTACATACAAGAGGCATGATAAGAATAGTCACTCCATTCTGACCAGATGAGATCTAGTGTGTAGTCATGACTGAATCCTACATGCAGGTATTACAAACACAGTACAACCCAAATGGCACTAGATGTCAGAGTCTCGGTTTATGAAGCTTTTGTCAGAATTAATATTAAGTGATAATAATCACAGCACCGATATATATGTAATCTTATTACTAGGAGCTGAACTGTAAGCGTGGGTTTAAATGCAACAGTTTTAAGAGTGTGGGAAGGTTTTAGTAAAAACAGTTGACGAAAATAAAGCAGGATATTAAGAAGAATACTGATGGTGATCCGAAGAGACTTGGTTGTTGCGAATCATGTGGGTAGTTGACACTCATCAGCTCCCCCAGCTACAAAATATTGGTTTTTCTTGAAACAATGGAGGATTAGGATTAGGACATACCATCTAACTAATGCGGCAGGAAACCACTACGCCACAAGGACATCTAGATGGCGTCGGTCACAGTCTATAAGAAATCCTTGATTCGGAAGAAATTGTTTTGACTATGATGTAGATAGTTAGTAGACTATATCCAAAAGTTGGCAAAAGTCAGTGGATTTCTACGATCTAATCGGAATTGACCGATGCTAGAGGACTTATGTTAAATGACTTTTACTACGATAGGCAGTGAAAGCAACTTAAACAGATTTGTGGGTGGCGATAATTTGGTAATACTCTGCAATTATTTGGGCTTAAGAGAGAAGTTGGCAAGGGGAAGACGATGGTCAATGAGACCATCTCCGAAAATGGTGGATCCCTGTCAATCCAACGTTTTATAACTACACCCCTTCTCCCCAAGAGAGTAAAGGTAGCTTCAGATGGAGGCATTAGTTATTGGTGCAAAACGGCAATAAAGCTTCATCCTCAGACTTGAAATTCATTTGTAACTTTTTGATTTCGATTTCAGTATCATTGTTCCTGAATTGACCTTCCAGATATGGAAGTACCCCAGAGAAAATGCATTCACGCCAGTATTTCATGGATGAGTCATTACAATAGGCAACTTCGAACATCATGCTGCGTTTGATTGATAATAAACAGAAATATCAATTTGTAAATCACTTAGGAATAGTATGAAACATGTAAGCACTGAATAAAAAACAGTACTGAGAGACATAAGCAATGAAAACTACCCACGTTGAAAAAGTGAGCTGTGGGAAACGTAAATGTGAGCAGGGCAGTGGGTTGCAAATCATTCATCCATTTTATGAAATGTTGGTTCTAAAAAACCAGCTAACTAGGTTCAGGCGTTCTCAATAATATGGCTTTCCGAACTGTATTTTCTTCGAGTACAACGCTGATAAGTTTATCCCCCGATAGGAAAGAAAGGTATCCAGTATTATTCAAACTGTTGTCGGATGATTCCTAATCTAAACCTATAGAGCAGAACTTGGGCACCGTGGTCGGACTTTATTTCATATTATATTAGTTTGTTTGATGTAAAGCATATTAATACAATATTATATACCGAGTAAAGTTGAATAAAACTGCACTACGAATAATACTATATCAAACAGTCTAATCTAATTTGAAGCCAATCCTACAAAGGTCAACTGTGACTCAAATAACTAGGCGGTAACATCTCTGATCGTTGCACTGGGTAGTTAAGGTGTGAATATCTGAGAGGTATTATCTCACTCAAAATCGCAGACTTCCCCTGCTAACGAATCCAAGCAAGCACGAAATCTTGACTCAGTGCTTTCTATTGACTGCTTCCAATCTGATAATATTAAGCCGATAATTCTTTCTCCAGTATACAGAGAAGAATACAAGAACAACCAATAAAACGTGTGGTTGTATCCGTAGAATAACACTGATTTTTTGAATAAGAGAAAAGTGTAAATCATCCATTTTTATCAATTTCATTTTAAAAGTTTAACTACCTAAAATCATTAGTCCAAATAGCATTCCGTACATAGGCGCCAACATGACCTGACTGAGGTAGTACACGAATTTCAGCATCAGGATATATTTTTGTTAGTGAGCATACACCATATCTCGGTACATATGCATCGTATTCAGCAGCAACAGACAAAACAAGTCGAGAATCTAGTACTGGTGAAAAATTTCCAAGATGAGTGAAGTAATCTAAAAGATCACGCAGAAACTGTCTGACTTCAGGATCCGGTGATGAATTACTATTCATCATACGACTAATATCTGGTAATGAACGAAATAAAGATTCACCATTGTACCAAATGGATGTACCTAATGGATATCGAAAAACGGTGTTCAGGTTAATGGAGGATAGTGAGCTTGGCAGACCAATAGACCTGAAAAACGGAAAATTAAGTGGATAATCGAATAAATGTTCATCTGTACTATTGTTAGTTAATTAAACGTACTTTTTTTTTAAAAAAAAAAAAGAGATTTATACGCAACGAAGTATAACTTATCTTCTTTCACTAGAGTAAGGTGGTAGAAAATGGAGAGGGTGAAACGGTGTATCAGTGCTATCCACCAAAACTGCTAGTGAATGGTGGAGCAACAGAAGAACAACATGTGGACTCAACAACGAAGAAGCTTGAACACAAAAGCATCAGTTAAAGTTCCTACACTTCGCAGCAGAAAACAGAGAAAGCAGGGCGACATAGAATGACGTTGAAGACCAACAATGAGCCTAAACAGGAACAATAAATTGGATGGATATCAAACATATAGATGTGCTCACCACTTTGTGATAAGACGTAAGTGCCTGATGACAGATATTCACACCTGCTGTCCGTACTCAACCACTGCTTCCCAAACTGCCGTAAAATCACATACATGTTATCATCACCCAAAACAAAATAATCACTACCCTTCCGGACCAATGACTGTACTTGATGTGATCAAATAGATGTTTCTGTCATACAAATAGTATAAAGAAACAGGACACAAATGAGCAGTGGTTAGGAATTTTACACTTACGTAACAGACACTTCAACCCAGCGGTTTGTTTTCTTAACCACGGAACCGCTTACCAGATGATTTCATAACACGTATAACATCACCTCAAAAAACAATCATTTTAAACCGTAGAATTTCTAATTATTAGTCCTCTTAACATGAAGACATAGATTACTGGCTTCAGCGTTCGACTTCCAAGCAACGGGTTATAGATTTAATTCTCACTCCACCTACTCCAGTTTGAGCAACTGGGTAGTGTTATAGGCCTTCATACAAATATTGTGACTCATAGCCCTGCTGAGTTACATTATTATTTGATGGATATGGTTTAAACTGTGAACCAAACCAACTGACTTAACCCGAAAAGTAGGCTTGGTGCTATCGCATAATTAGGTACTCTTTGCTATGATGTTGCATCACCGAAAATCTTTGCCTCCCAAGTACGCTGGTATAGCAGAGGGCCGAGTGAGCCCGGTCATCCTCTATAAATGCTCTTATGCAGTCATGGGCTCACAGCATATGTCATCGACGTCCTACTCACTGCTTTCATGAGGTTTCAGTGATTCCACACAAGTGAGATAGCGAAAATGAATGTCCTCAGCTGATCACCAAACTGCTGCACATGGATATTCTACTTAAGTAAGTTGATGAACCCAAATGGAAAACAAGTGATGCACATGGAATTCGAATCCAGAATGGATAAGTAGCGTATAAATCTACTCCAGTCATCAGGAACCATGGGAATGCAGTATTTTATATTGTTCTCATGCCTTGTGGATTGAACTTCTGGTCAAAGGCCCGAGAAGTGGTTTCTTAAGATCACCTCTTTCGGTTTCGGCATCCAGGCAGTATCCCAGCTCGTATACGAATCATAGATCAATATTAACAGTCGAGACTTGGAGTGGGTCGGAGTATGTCCAGGTTATTAACCCATTGACTAAATGTTCACCCTATGGAAGATGCCTGAATGAGGGAATACGCATTTGGAGCCCAAAACTGTTGTTTCTTGATGTTACAGCTGCCCTCGATTGTCTCTTAGAGGTTTTTTAACATTTTGAAAGTTCCAAACGGAAAGCCTGATGCCCAATGACAGCATACCAACAACTTTGTTCAATGTTCTAAACAATAGTCGGGTTAAGCAGGATTGTCATATTTCACCACTCCGCCTTTACTGCTGATAACATTGGATAACGCAATGAGACCACTATTTGAAGAATCAGATGATGTTACCGTAGTTCATAAGATTTTCATCAGCTTCACGCAACTTGAATAAATAGGTAATTAATCCTTGTAGAAAATACTAACATACCTTATATAATAATAAAGGCTCCATCAAGTATGTTAGTGAAATACGGAATAAGAGGTTGCTAGTGGATATGCAATCACAGAAAATGTTGATATTCTTACACAAGAACACATTAATAAATATGGTATTTACGTCAAAAGAGTACATAGTTTTGCTTTTGATGTCGATATCATCAAGACGATCAACAAGTTCAAACGAAGTACGTCATAGAATGAACATCTAGATAGTTTTTAAAGGTGGTTTATAAAGAAACAGTCAGCTGCGTATACTGAAATTTGTAGAAGTGATATCTATAGGCAAATTGACGCCCTTTTTGTGTGTACAAAAACAGCTTACCCATACATCACACCCACCTTGGTAAACTTTAAACCTTATTACTAAGATTGGGATCCAATGTTATTCATCCGTTATTATTTTTCTCAATTATAATCCCCTATTACCATAAAAATTTTACTTGTCCTACCAGTCTTCAGTTTTAGATAAACTGATTTGGCAAGTAAATGTAATCGCGTTGTTCAAAATGTATTACACAATTACATGAAATTATTCAGATAAAATTGGTTTCCTAATTACATAATTCAAATATATGAAAGTAATTGAAATCATTGTTCATTGAGTGAAGTCATCTTCAGCGACTTGGACAAGAGCTACGAGTGTCTTCTCAGCGACTTTCATATCATTCACAGTTCACTTGCTGTGAGAATGATTAGAAGAGATGGAGAGATGGCTAGTGTTTGAAATAGCACCATAGGACTAAGGACAATTCTTTTCATTTAGAATTTGTTGGTAACTCATGACTCCCTGAATGAAGTCATATAGATTTCGCAACTCACTGGCTTGAAACGATAGCAGACATCGATGAGGATCAAAACCAATGGTGATAGTACTGCGATTTCCACGTTTCACCTGTTATTGGGATGTGCACGGAAAACAATGAATGCCTCTTTAGAAGTAACTATGGAACTGGCCTTTGAATAACCAATTTCTATTTTTGCTTCCGTTCTTTTTTTTTGTTCTCTTTTTCCTATATCACTTTTTGTTCCCTCGATGCTAGGGTATTATCATTTTGTTTAGCGCATCTCTTAGTGTCCTTTAGTGCATCAATTTTGTGTTTTAAATAACATAATGATTCTCACTACAGTGTTATAAACCGGCAGATAATATTGAGACATATGCTTAACCGCTCCCAGGTATTTGAAATTCTGGTCATTATCAGAACGACAGTGTAGATTGTACTTTTTAATCATGTCTACCGAATGATATTTAATAAATCTAAACCACCTTTCCCAGAGATGGTACATGATACATTATAAAGATTGTTGATAGAGGTGAACGCATCTTCACTAATGATCACTATTTCAATGAATGCTTGTGCATCAACTTGTTCGTACAAGGCTGTTGAAGTATATTGGTTATTTTAATGTTTAATTTCAGGACACTAACTGTTATTAACATAATTTCTACAGTAGGATTGCATAAAGCGTCAGGAAGATCGCTATGCCTATGATCAATAGTTACTAGCTTCCATAAACCTAAACGGTGATTCGTTAGAGTTTTTCTCAAGTTTCTAGTTACTGAAATTAGAAAATGTGTTAAAAAATTTTAATGGATAAAAATAAAACTCACAGATTATTGGGAAGGAATTTTCGAGCAGATAATAAAGAAGTATATCGTGAAGCACTGGACTGTTGTGTGTTTCTAGTAGGTGATGACTCAGAAGTGGAAAGGGACACATTAATAGATTGGGGTGATACCTCTTCATTAGCCGGTACATTAGCATCCAATGAGCTGGAAGAATCTACATTGAGCTGATTAATAACACCTATATGCATATCTGATTGTTCTGATACAGTAAGTAAATGGTTAACTGCCATGGGACTAGACTCTTTAGCATTCAGAGAGTCGGGAACAGTTCGCGCTTTGAGTGAGCTTCGTACAATTTCATCTGTTAAAAGGGAAAAAAAACTGTTAATCTCATTTGACAAACACAGTTTCCACAGAAAAGTGAAAAAAGTTTGGAAGCTTTTCTATTTTCCCTAGTACACATGTGGACCTAAAAACAGTTCTAGAACGAAATACAAGGATATAAGTATTTGTGATCAGTGTTTCATAGCAAAAAGCGAAAAGCGTAGAAAGCACCATCTGATGTGTTAAATTATCACTGCAAATTAGAAAACTAAATCAATACAACATTGCGAAGCCAGCACGTGTAGTAGGAAAACAATTACACCACGAATATCAGAAGTATTTTAAGGATTGCATGACGAAGAAAAAAGAAAAGAATACTACTTTCAAGACCCAAAACGGATACGCTTGGTGGGTTGATATGTCCCTATAATTAACCCCATCTCATTTCGCTTGGTCTTCAATCACCAACTTCGACTGCTTGGCATAATCCTAACCAGGAGGCTCACGTCCATCCCCCCGCCACACACACGCACACGATTCAGAAACCATATTTACTGATCCTGTATTGGAGTGTGGTTATCCTTAGCTTTTATCAAACATAACTTGACTTCAGCTAAGAAAGTGCTTTCAGAAAAGTAATCATTTCAGTCTGTTTTTGATTACCTTACGTTCTCCATCTCCTAGGCTTTTATTGTCCATGCTGCTCACCAGTAGTGAGTGAAATCTTTGTCGAAATACACTTAGGCTGCATTCGCTTTTCGTTGTTTTCAAGGCCCCATGCATCCATTTTTCCGGATGAAGCTGATAGAATTTACTGATACTTTCAAACTCTTTCCTGGTGTTCGTTTACAATCTCAAGAACTTTCTTCATAGTACTTCATTGGTGTCATGCTCCCTCGGAGTAAGTAACTTCCTCATAATTCAGTGATTTTAGACAGATTCGCCTCAATATTCTCACCCATAAAATAACATAGAAAACATCTTCAACTTGTATTTAAGGTGTAAGTAGGAGCATGATGGCAGTTGAAGCACAAGTCTCAGAAGCAATCCTCCACCAACCAATCTGATATCCACATGCTGGTTCACGTGTTTTCTCCCAAAACTTCGGAACAAAACGATTAGTTGGGAAAGGCTTCAAGGGTTTAACGGCTTCTTATGAAGACTTCTCAATCTTTCTGCGCACTATAACAGGTAGGTATTTTAACGGGTGACTCTAAAGGCTACCCTAGCAACTGATAAGGTAGTCAATTACACCCCTTTATTTTATAGAAAAGTACCTACCCAGGTGAAATATCGAAGTCTGATTGGTTACTTCAGCAGTCGCTAGGGCGACCTTTAAAGTCACTCATTTCTAACACTTCTTAACCGCATATACCACGGTGTGCAGTTACTCTTACTTGCAGTGTTTGAAAAAGAAATTGGATTTGCATTGGTTGTTTTATTAAGCTAGAGGCATGATTGCAATATCGAGGGGACATTCCCTTGAGGCCAGTCACAGATAACATTCTGAAAAATACCTAGTTTACACGATTATACTTATAGAATAAGTCGGAAATGATTGATTTTTAAGTCAGAAATACACAGAAGTGCAATAAAAAAGAGTTTATATGTTATGAGTGAATAATAGTTTTTCACATGCGTTTTAAAAATCGTATTCATATACACAGGCTAATATTTCTGTTTTTTGTCATACGACAACCAATGAAGCTATAAGGAGTACCTGTGAAAAATACTGACAATTAATCACTTTTTAAGACGTCGTCAAAAAGTGCTTCAGCAATTTTGTTATAAAAACACTGCACACGAAAATTTCTGAATTGAAAGAACGATAAATTTGTAGGATGTTTTTACATAAGATAACGAAACCTCTGGTATCTGATTTTGATAAAACGCCAGAGAACAAGTAACTAACGTGGCTGCTGCTGGAACTTAGTGATGCGATTTCTGTTGCATGTTATGTTGTGCTGGATGTTAAAAAGTGACAGACGTTCGATCATCCAACAATTTTCGTGTTTACATGCGGTTACTGGCGTTGTAACCTCGCCTAGTTTACCAGCCGGTCCTAAGCTCGGGAAAACAGTGAAGGTTAGGCATAGGGCTAGCAACCCTACGCCGTAAAATCAATCCAATCGCGGAAGAAACTTCAAACCACAAAGAAAATATAAAAAATTAAACTTAGTCCCCGCTGGAATCGGAGAAGCGAAATGACGCCGGTTGGTGAAAAGCTTCGGCAACCAACTGCCAATGTGTCTTCTCTCACTCGATGAAAGCAAAAGTAAATATAGGGAACATGGAATGTTAACACAATGTTCGAAGAGAACAAGGCTGCACAGATTCTAAAAAAGATGAGAAGCTATGGCATAGAAGTGTTGGGAATCCGCCAAAGCAGGTGCAATGGAAGTCGACCCTCCAAACTGTCAACTGGACAGTCAATAATCTACTCCAATATTCTCACCCACACGACAACCACGAGAACACTCAGTTTTCAACTGCCTATCATCATGTCCCCAACACCATCAAAGGCTCTCCTATCATGCAGTGGGAACCGGTCTCCTCCAGCATCACGATCATGACAGTAAGGTTCGAATCAAAAGGAAGGAAAGTTACTATCATACAATGCTGTGCTACACTCTGCACCTACAAATAATGCAGACGTAGAACAAGAGAAGAAGGAGGAATTCTATAGACAACTGCAACCAGCAATAGATAAAACCTCAGCCCCGTCGGCGACATCAAAATTATAATGGGTGAAGTGACATGAATACTAAACTGGGAACGGACAACACAAGAAGAAAACCAATCATGCGTCAAGAAACACACTGTGAAATGAACGAGAATGGACAACTGTTTGCAGGCTTTTGCGCATTCAACGGTTTGGTGATTACAGACAGTGTACAAACACACGGATATTCAAAAAGCGACATGCATTTGATTTCATCAGATGGACACACTACACTAAAAATCAGATCGACTTCATCCCAATCTCAAGAAAGTGGAGATACAGCCTACTCGACACAAGATCAGATCAACAAAAGCAGCAGATGTAGGTTCACATCACTCACTAGCTAGTGCAAGGAACCTACCTTCAAAGTCAAGTTGAACGCCTTCAAAGAAGCTGCTGATAGACCACAGTTCAAGTTCAATTTCAACACCAGAATTACCAGTGAACACAAGGACTCCGACAAATGTCGATTTCCTCAATACCATAAAGTTGCTGAAATCAGCGAAAACAGCAGAACCACATGGAATTCCACCAGAAGCACTGAAAACAGACACACAGACAACAGCGGACATGCTCACACCACTATTGCAGAAGGTTTGGAAGGAAGGCAGGAAAAGTGCTTGCCTGTCGATTGAGAGAAGGGCTACCTTGTCAAACTCCCAAGGAACGGAGACCAAAGTCTTTCCAGGAACTGGAGCCAAATCATGCTCCACCACAAGCAAAACATTATGTCGCATCATACTACAGACACTAATAAATGCTCTGCATTCAAAATTACGATCGAAACACGCTGGCTGGCTTCACCAAGAACAAATCATGTGCGGATCAAACTTCAACGCTATGCTGCGCATCATCATACAACACATCATAGAATGACAGTCAACTGGGTCTTTACCTCAACTTCATCGACTTTGAAAAGCCTTCGATAGAGTCAACCGAGAAGCAATTTGGCAGGCAGCTGCTTCAACACTACGCTTTTAGTGCCACAAATCTTTATCAACCTCATTCAACAGCTATATGCTTGCTATATAATGAGGCTACATGCCAGGTGATTCACAAGGGAAAGCTCAGTGACGCCTTTCAAGTGAAGACAGGAGTAAAACAAGGCTGCCGCCTACCACCACCGATCATCTTCATGATTGTGGTCGACTGGACTGGACTCGAGTGGAGTGGATCATGCAGCGAATTGTGAAGAGCGAGAAGATGGACATACGCTGGCTAGACTGATGAAAAGAACCCAGGAGAAGATTTGGATTTCGTCACCGATGATGATTTATGTCCAATGTCTTGTCGCACAAACTCGAAGATATACAGGCAACAACCAACAAGTTGACAGAAGAGGCAGTGAAGGAAGACGCGACTTCAAGTCAACGTAGAGAAGACAAAGGTGATGAAGATACACAACAAATAACAACATCAACAACAAGCACCGATAACCACCAACGCAAGATACTTAAACGAAGTAGTCTCTTTCACCTACCCACCTAACTAGGCAGCATCGTTTCAAATACAGGTGGCACAAATGAGGACGTCGAAGCAAGGATCGGAAAGACTGCAAGACAGGCCTTCATTTGTCTGAAATCAGTGTGGAGATCTACTACACCGCACTCAGCACAAAGCGTCAACAACATCCGGATTTTCAACACCAATATCAGTCAAGTCAGTGCTGCTATATGCTTCAGAAACTTGGCGCGTCACGAAAAGCATTTCAAACAAACTACACACATTCATCATCAACAACTGTCACCTACGCTCACTCGATACTGGAGGTCAGAAAGAATAAGCAACAAGCAACTCTGGCTGGCTGACTGGCAACGAACCAACCAAGAACCCATCGCCCAACAAATATGCACAAGAAAGTGCACATGAATTGGATTGGGCATACACTGAAAAGACCGATTCGAGACACCATGCGTCACACCAGGCACTCGAATTAAATCCAAAGGGGAAACGACGTGTCGCGCGTCTCAGCCGACGGTGACATGGAGGAGATCGTGTGAGGAAGAAATGAAAGCTTCTGGGCAGTCGTGGAGCCAGGTTAGGAAGACTACAGGAAACAGAGTGAAATGGTGACGTGCTACTGAAGCTCTATGTTCCATTAGGAACCCAAGCGAGAAATAGTAGTAATAAACTGGAGAAGTATTTTCAAATGCCGTGTAACTTATCCTTATTTCCACGAATGCCTTACACCCATTTAATCGAAAACAGCCAGAATAGCTCCTACATCATATCACTGACTGTGATATAACAGGAGAAAAAGACTCAAAAATCAGAATTCATGGTTTCCTCAAATATACATATATGCTAGAGTATTA